TCCTCACAGGTGCCTGGGGTGTGAGTGTCTGGAGCAGGCACACCGTACATCAAAGTCTCTGCCAGCTCCTTGCGCATTTCACGCATTTTTAGTTTAATGAGAAGCCACGTCTCATTTGCATCCCTGGCCTCTGGCCACACCCCAGCAGATGGCCTGTTCTTTCTGCCTGACGTGGGTGAACCCGGCCAGCAGCTCCCGGTGGAGCCTCGGTCTCCGTCCCTGGGCACAGCCGGGTGAGGTCGTTCATAAATGCCACCTCCCCGAGAGGGTGTCGCTGATAATTTACCATCCTCCCGGTGGCCCTCGAGCTCTAGATGCTGAGTGACAAGTGTTCTCAGGATGGTGTTTGCCCAGAGCTCGCCGGTTCGTCTCGGCGTGGGCTGGCCTTTGCTCGGCCACGCTGGGCTTGGCTAGACATGGTAAAACACTGGCAACATCTCGATTGCAAAGGCCACAGTTGGGGGACCGTCCTGAGCTCCCTGGCAAGAACATGGGGGCCCGGCTGCGTCCGACACGTGGGCCGGCCGCAGACGTGGGGAAAGGGGTCTTGCATGAGATCCAAGTTCGAATGACCCCTTCATCGGGTCGCCTCGTCTGTCGCCCTTCGTTTGCTCACCTGGACAGACTTTACCTGGACAGGTGTGTGTCAAGGTGTGCTGCCTTGTAGATGGAGGATGAGGGAAAAGGTGGCAGACGCGCAGGGACCAGGAAGAGCGTTTTTTTGTGTGGCTCGGCGGCTGTCACAGTCTCGCTCTCTCTCCCGCGGGCGGGAAGCGTCGAATATTTATATTCGTTTAAAACCCTGTACATGCTGGTGATAAACTTGACTTTAAAAAGTTGGACTCTGGACCCGATTCTATTGTTTAAGTGTATAAATCATTATTATTACGTTTTTAAATAGAAAGGAGGGTAAGCGGACGCGGTAGCAGGTGTCATCTCGGGGGGAGGGGCGGTTCCGGGGTCTCTGTCCATTTTCTTCTCTTTCTCCATCTCTGTGAGCTGCTGTCATAAACGGCACTTCTTAGTAACGAGCAGAAAAGCGTCACTCGGGGAGGCGCCGCCCGGGAGTGTGTGAGAGGGCTCGTGACCGCCACGCGGCCCGACGCGCAGACGCCTAGGCGTCCGTGGCATCGTTCCCTCTGGGGAAACCCTATTTATGATGTTTTTCTTCTGTCTCCCTTTAAAGGATGAGAAGAACCAAGTTCTGACCACCAACATTTGGCTGCAGATGGTAAGTGTGGACACCTCGCTCCCGGGTGTCCCCCCTCTGCCTTCGAGATGCTCGTGCTTGGCCTGTGGGGTCAGCAGAGGTCCCGTGACGAAAGCCAGGACGTTGTCCTCGACGCCACCAATGCCAGCGGCGAGGCAGCAGGTGCCTCCTTCTGGGGCGCGGCACCGCCTTCTGCAAGGCTCCGTGCAGTTAGTAACGAGACGGGGCGGCCTCCCGGCCCCCGCAGTCTGCAGGGTCACCGGCCCCCAGACTCGCTCCCCGTGCCCTGACAGGCCTGAGCCGGGGGGTCTTCGCCCTCTCCGCTCCTGCACGTTTAGTGTGGCACCGAAAATTCTAACCTGCATTTAATTCGTTGCGAACGATGCCATTTCCGTCAAATTACAAATACTGACATTTCAGAACCGGAGCGTCGGTGTCTATGTTCGACGGAATCTCTTTAAATCACAGAGAACGTCACTCTCGTCGTTCGTTTTAAAAATGCAAACGAGCGCGTCCCGAACCGTCGGCGGGTCACGTGGTCTCTCTTCCTTCCTGTCCACATTTTCCACTCGCATCCCCAGCCCACGGTGCACACGGGATTCATCCCAACGCGATGTAGGTTTACGTTCGGAAGCGTTCGATGAGTCCTTCTGCCTTGGTTTTCTCCAGTGTAAATATTTGCATCGCGATGATTCCTGCAGAAAATAACTGTGAAGTTTTCTCTTCTGGATTAACTCAGGCTCACGCTTATTGGGACATAATTCATCAAGGTTGACACTAATGGCAAATTTTAATAAGTAAGTATTCAACATCACATTGGAAATGCATTTCTCTTGCAAAGATGGGACTTTATTTTAAAGTCATTTCTGTATTCATAGATGATTTTTTTTTACTAGAACTGAGTAATTAGACAGAGATTTCGCCCGTTCCATCGCTTTTAAAAATAGACCTAGTAATATGTATAGTTCATAACGAAAGACACTTTGTCACAGTAATGTTATTCGATTCCTTGAAATTCTTCCAGATTCCATGCCAAAAATAGTATAATTTTCATCAAAGCGTATGAGCTGACAACTTGATTCGTTTTCCCTTTAATTTTGTTGGAAGGGAAGAATTAAATCCCACTTCATCTTTGAAAGTCTCTGTGACATAATTCGACAGTGTTTTGATTGGCTCGTTTGTCTGGCTCTTGGGCCTGCCCCGGCTGAGAGCTGAGTCGGCAGAGCTGACTTTGTGGGGCCGGCGAGGGCACCTGGGCCTTCTGGGCAGATGGGCTCCAGGGGGAACGCGGGTCCGGGGAGAGGCGGAAGACGGATTCACTCCACACCGTGGGCTGCTGGTCCCGGCGGTGACCTTAGCCCCGCATGAGACCCCTTTGCAGAACCGACCATGACGAATAAAGCAGAGACTCTCCGGCGTTTTCCGTGGCAGTAGGCGAAGCAGCATCTTCACGGGGCGGACCTCACCCTCCCGCTGTGCCCACCGAGGCGCGCCTCCCTCCCCTCTGCTCAGACCGAAAGCCCCCGACCCCTCTGTAACTCTGTCACGGTGGGTGCAGGAGTCAGGCCGGTGGTGCGGACGGTGGCTTTGGCAGGTTGGGGACATCTCAGCTTCACGGAGGCGGAAGGCAGTGAAGGGCTGGCCCGGAGCGCCCCCGGCATGAAGGTCTGGGTGCCGAGGCGTTCGCAGGTGTGGTGTCGGTAACTGACACCTGTACAGGTGCCCACCGCGTGGAATGCACGCTGGGTGTCTTTCCAGCACGTGTCCTTGTGAAGCCAGGTGGCAGCTGTACCACCGGCTCCCGACTGAGTTTTAAGGAATCATAAGCCTTTGGGGTGTAGAACAGACCTTAGTGGTTATCTGCTCAAAACCTCTGCCCCACCAAGCGTGTCCACCTGGAAGGCCCCGGCATTTCTGCCGCGGCCACAGCCCGGACCTGGGGACCTCAGATGTCGCCACAGCAGGACGCAGAAGCTGCCCCGGGGCCGTTTATAAGACAGCGGCCACCACGCTTCCCGCGCTTCGGGTTCACCATGGCGACCAGCCTCCTGCGCCAGGCCGACCAATGGGCAGATACGAACGTGGCTCCATATCGAAGGCTACCAGGCCGGGGTCCCGAGGGACGGTGACACAGGACAGGACGGGGACAGGCAGCCCAGGAAATTGGCTTTTCTCTCCCAGAGTTCCAGGTGGCTCAGTGCCCGAAAACCTGAATCCACATAATCTTTACTCCAGGGCATTTTAAACCCGGGGTCGATATTCCGCGCATGATAGATTTTTCTACACGTTTAACACGGAAAAATCAGAAAGGGGAAAATAAACTCTTCTGACGTGCGGTTTATTGTGTCTGTTTCCCGCCCGCTGGCTCTGCAGTCGCTCAGCCCGGGGGAGGGGGACGCTGATCTGTTCCCCACCGCGGGTCCTTGGGGGGAGCGGGCCGCGGCTTCTCTGCAGGCCGGTTTTATTATTTCGGGAGACCTGTCGGACGTGACCTGACAATCTGTGAGAAGAAATGGCAGGAGCCATTTCAGTTTCCGAAGGGACATCCGAGCCACCAGAGACTTGCATTTGTTTTGTTTTGTTTTTGTCCGGTTTCCCATCCACCTGCTATTTATTCCCCATTTTTTCCCTCCTCATTCTAATCATGAGCCTAATCGCATCCACGTGGCGGACGTTCGATCGTAAACCGTGTTTATTTCTGGGCTCTTCATCACTTTGTCTTTGGCACATAGGAAAGCCACATCCCGCCCACAGAGAAGCCGGCCCCTGGCTTCTTGGGGCCGTGACAGCCACCCATGGCTCAGGGCGATGTTTCTCACCAAGTCGCAGTGAGGGGGGTGGGGGAAAGTCGGGGGAAGCGCGGGGAAGGAGGAGCCCCGCTTACTTCCTCTGGGATCAGAATAGTCCACCAGAAGAATTGTCAGCACATGTGTGCGTACGGACCGGTCACAGCAAAGTCCCCGATGTCCTTCACCCTGACCGTCAGTCAGACCTCCGATTCTCCCGACACCAGCTGGGTGGCCGGGCATCCAGTTCCACCCTGACACCATCGGAGTGAGCATCGGACCCCACAGGACTGCCCCCCACTGCAGATGCCAGCTGCACACGGGGTACCCGGGCAACCCACAGTTCCATCCAGCTGACCTGAGATTTTGAGTTTCCCACTGAGCACCACCCCCGTAGGTCTCTGTACCCCGATCTATGGAATGGTCATCGTATGACAGGATGGGAATCGTATAACATCCTGAGTTCTGGTGATCAAGGTACACGCGTGACACCGAGCCAGCAAAATGCCCGGGGTCCAGGTGCCCGAGTCGGGGGACATAGGAGGAGACGTGAAATGGCTGAGGTGCGGGGGGTGTGTCCTGCAGCTCAACGCGGTGCCACTGGAAGAGGCTCGGGCCTGGCCTCTTCAGCCGGCAGGGGACGTGGCTGTGCGCCTGCCACGCCTGCCTCGATCAGCAGGTTGTAATGGCATCAACAGGCTCTGTGACCATCAGTTACCAGCCCAGACAAGCATCCCGGGCGAGAGATGAGGTCTCAGAGAGGAAAGTGCAGGTGCTGAGTCGGGAGGGCTTGTGCCCCGTACGAGGGACGAAAAAAAAGGCACCTCTGGGCAGTGTGGATGGCATCCGGGCGTTTCTGCAAAGCTCCCCAGACAGCCCGGCCCCCCCAGCTGCACCTGTCTAATTAGAAGTGTCAGCGACGGGCGTCTGGTTTGAGGGCCCAGAAGGTGGCTCGGCCCACGTGCGTTCATTCGCCCTGCGGGCGGCGGCCCCTCCTGCCAGCCACAGGCTGGGCCGGCCGCTCCGAGGCTCGCCTGCCCTCTCCCGATCTCCCGGGACGCAGGCACCTCTGGGACGTGGCTTCGGCCTCGTGGCTGCAGCTCCCAAATCTCCACGGCCCGGAATATGAACCTGTACTTTTCTTCTTTGATGTTGTTCGCATAACTTTGCACCAGACTCGAGTCCGAGATCCGCACCGGCCCTGGCGTCGAGGGCGGCGCGTTTTGGTCTCGCTCGGTGTAAAAGCGCGTGTCTCGCTCGGTTCAGCGTTTCGCCGCCAAGGCCAAGTGCGTGCGTGTTTGGGGTTGTGGCGCTATTTCTGCAGGAAAAGAGGAATTCGGGGCCCCCTCCAGCAGGCCGGTCGCTGTTTCTGAGGGGTCCCCCAGCAGCTGCACGAAATGGCCGGTCTGCCTTTTTCAGCCCGGTCCCCATTCCGATGGAAATAAGTGAATTTATTTTTAGAAAGTGTCCTCATGGAAAATGTTGAAAGCACAGCATTTACTCGTTTGGCGAGGAAGAAAACCCCTCTGCCAAGGGAGGGAGAGCACACCCCGCACCAGGATTAACGTCAGGGCCACCTCTGAGTGCGGCCACGGTGACAGCCGGAGCTTGAGTGCGATTTTCGTGCTGTCCGTGGTCATTTTGAGGGGGATCGTTGAATTCCCAGTCGCCTTACGCCTCGTAGACAGCGACTCCATCATGTGCATCAATGTCTGGGACTCCGTTTGGCCGCGAGCGTGCCTGGTTAGCGGGTGGGAAGCGAGCGGCCACTGACGTGTCTGTGTGTCTGTCAGTCCTGGACAGATCACTACCTGCAGTGGAACGTGTCGGAGTACCCGGGCGTGAAGACCGTGCGCTTCCCCGACGGCCAGATCTGGAAGCCAGACATCCTTCTCTACAACAGGTGAGCGCGGGGGACGGGGGGCAAGTGACTTGCTTCTCGCACGCGGTTCACTGCTGAGCGTCGCCGAGGATCCATCCGGTAGGTGTGCCGGACACGGTGCCAGGGCTGTGGGACCGTCGCTCCCCGCGAGGCCTCGTGAGCGGCTCTGTCTCCCTCTCCGGGGTCCCCCGCCTCGGCGTGCAGGCTCACGTCACCCAGCATCCTGCCGTGGGGCTGGGCGTCGGTGCTGCACGGATGTGTTGGCGCAGATCGGGGCCGAGGCATCTTCGCACGGGGCGGGACCTCTGTCCCTGAATGGCGGCAGGTACGGTCGCGGTGGGAGGCGGGACGGGAGCCCGCCGTGTGGACGCAGAGTCCGCTGTGCGTGGGGAGAGGCAGAGCTGCGTGCGTGAGCGAGCACTGGTGTCTGTAGCTGGACTCGCGCGGGCTTGTCACGCAGGCCGCGTACAGGCCGAGGGGGATGCAGGTAGCGGTCACGTCCTCCATCGTCCTTCCCCGAGGCCCGTTATCCCGGGCCCGTGGGACTCGTAGAGCAGAGAGGCCAGAAAGGCCAGTGTCCAGCAAGGGTCGCCTCCCAGCAGCGCGAAAACGCTTCCTGAACTGCACAGCCGAGTGCGGACATCGGAGCGTCTCTGTGCTGAGCCCTGGAACGCGGTAAACGGCATCGAAAGGGAGGAATTTCCTAGTGACGGCTGCCACTTCTGTCCCACGTGCCCCCGGCTCAGGGAACAGGGTGGCCATGGGCCGCTGCCCTCTGCGGTCCCGTGGCGACCGACCCCCAGGGCCCGCGCCCGTGTTTGTCCCGCACGGACTGCTCCCAGAGGGCTGGCTGACCCCCTTCCTCGTGTCCACCTCTGTCTGTGTGGCCGGCGATCACATTTCATTTGAATCGATGAGCCTGTCTCTAGGCACATGTCCCCTTCCGATTTGCCAGCCCTCTTCGGCTTCTTAAGTTCACTCAGGCGACTGAGCTTTGCACCATGCCAAAGTCAGGGAAAGTGTCCCCACCAACCGTGACGTCAATAACAAAAGTTTGTTTTGTCCAGGACATTTATTTTCCCCAGGGGGCTGGAGGTCCACACGACTGAGGTCTGGGCAGCTGTGGGTTCTCCTGGGGCCTCTCATCATGAGCCTGCTCAGCGCAGGGCGGGCATCTCCCAGCTGGATGGCGCCTTGGAGACGGAGCGTCGGGACCCCAGAACACCCCCTTTACCACATTTCGGGGCCCAGGGTCGAGGGAGGAGAGGGCGGCCCTGACACCCCAGGGCGCCTGGGGACGAGGAGACGAAGCAGAGCCGCCCACGCTGAGGAGGACCGTGGAACAGGAAGGTCACGGCCAGGGCTGGGGGGAGGGGCAGGGCCGGGGCGGACTCGTCCCGTCCAGCAGGCCCTGGGGTAGCGCCCGTTTGTCCCATGTCATCCTGTCTTCAGGCCGGTGAGCGGCCGCCGGAGCTGACCCCGCCCATGTCCGCGCGCCGACGGTGAAACTGGCCCCAGTCTTCGTTGTCCCGCTGAACGCCGCAGAGCTGTGGGCAGCATTAAGTGAGACGCTCCGGGCCCTGCCCGCTGCCGGCGCTCACGCGCGCCCCCTCTTGGGGTACAGTGGTCGCCCCCTCATCCCTCGGACCTCAGCTGGACTCGTGTCCCCACTGAGGCCCCCGTGTGTCTCACAGAAGGGGCTCCAGCCCCTTCGCTCGTGGCGTGCGCCCCTCCCCTGGGCCTCCGAAGCGCACGCAGCAAACGTTTGGGCACAGACGAGATGGGGTGCGGGGTCCGGAGGCCGAGGGGGGCAGATCGTGTGGCTCCGGTTGGTGCCGCTAAGAATAGCAGGACAAGGAAGGGGAGAAATCATGTTGGTGACTCAGACGACAGGACAGGAAACGGAGCCCGGGACGCCCCCGACCAGCCCCCGACCAGCCCCCGACCAGCCCCCGACCAGCCCCAACCAGCCCCCAACCAGCCCCCCACCAGCCCCAACCAGCCA